GATGAGAACCAAAGGCTAACAGCTTTGATGAGAACCAAAGGCTAACAACTTTTAGATACCTTAAGGTGGCCTTCAGCAGTATCATTGGTAAAGAGAACATTGTTTCAATACTAGAATAGCTAAGGGTGACTCATGAAAAGGAGCCATGATGAAAGCTACATCATAGGAACACGGCAGAAAAAATATGCCAAGGCATGTTTGTGAGGGTTGGATGCCATAAACTATAGGAAGGTCATAAACTACAGGAAGGCCATAAACTATACAAGTGGATCAAAACCATTTGGGTGGAGCTTGGAAATATCAGTGTATTTCATATTAGATAACACTAGAAATTGAGATAAATGTATCTCGTGAGATTAAAGGTGTTATAATTGCTCAGGATTAAACTACTTGCTACATGCTCAGTATTTTCCCTTTGTTGCATTTAATATTAAAGAAAATGTCTTCAATAAGAATTGATTCATTTTCTTTTTTCATAAAGGGAGCCGATGTCCTAAGCCCTTGATCTGAATTATGTCATTCAGACCCTGATAGGTTTTGCTGAAAATTCTGCATCTCTGAACACAGTACACTCTTCAGAGAAAGAGGAACTATTCTTAGCCTGTATCCTGATCGCTGTTCAACTATAGAACATAATTTATTCAATATGAGTGCTACTCAACTCCAACTGCCTCTAAGCAGTTCACAACAGAATAATATAAAAACAATATACAAAAAATGACCAGAGCAGCACAAAAGTTAACTACAAAGTAATTATGTGAGGGCAATCTAAACAACAAAGCCAACATAAAATGTCACAATCCTACTTTAACGATAGGATTTTCAAGGCCTTCCAAAAAGTCTTCAGGGTGGGAGCAGCAGGGATCTGGGGTGGACCTAATTCCAGAGGGAACGTTCCACTCAGATAAAACACGTTTTCCAGCTTCAGAAGACGACACTGTTTAACTGAGGCGCTTTTGAGCATGTCCACCCTGCCGGACCATACAGGATGGACAGAAATCCTGAGGCAAATGGTCCTTCAAATAGGAGCCCTATGCCAAATAGGGATTTATAGGTAATAGTTACTATCTTAAATTGCATCTAGAAACCTGCTGGTTTACTGTGTATCTTGCAGAGCAAGGGTACCATGTGGGCATTACATTAAATTCACTTAATTTTTTTAAAAAATCTTAATGTTATGACAATGGATATTTTGCTTTCTCTGATAGTCGAATCATCGCTCCTATAGCGATTATACTTTCCTAGATGCCATTTAGAAATTTGTCCGAATTCAGGAGACTGAATGAGAAGCTATTTTTTCCCCTTGTTATTAAGCTATTGTCTCCCCCCCACCAGAGTTATGTGGCTTCATCACCTTTCCTTTAATTTTTTTTTAATTTTTTAAAATAAATTTTATTTTTATCATAACAAAAAACAAACACAAAACCTTTCTTTTCCACAGTGTGTCAGTTGAATACATATTTCTTCATGCACAAAATATTATATTTAACTTGTATATATTTATAATCATTGTTATTAATGTTATATCACATATGTCTCTTATTCTATTATCCTTAGCTTTACAATCATTAACTTTCAATAATGTATTTCAAGTTCATTTTCTTACTCCATCTAGCTCAGGCTTCATCACCTTTCCAAAAAGGGCCAAACCTGAATCACACTACCGAGAAAGCATTCCAATAGGTAAAGCCTCATCACACACACGCGCGCGCTTCCCTCCTTAGTAAGGGAGAAGGAGAAAGCGAGTCGCTTTTGAGGCGAGCAGGAACAGAAGCCTCGATTCCGCTTTCTCTTAACCAGCACGCGGTCCCTCGCGCTTCCGCGGTCCCGGGCAGGGTCTCCTCCCCAGGGGGCGGAGCTCGTGAACGCTCAAACACAAGTTTGGGGCGAGGCGGCCATAGGGAGTTTCTGGGCTGGGACAGTCGCGGAAAGCAGCGTCAGAGAGTTATGGAGAGCGGCGGAGGCGCCTACGGAGCCGCGAAAGCGGGAGGCACGTTTGACCTGTGGCATTTCTTGCAGCAGCCACAGGTCATTGCACGCATTTTCAGTGCGGTGAGTGGCTGAAGTTGGTCCCGAGCCCCGGAGAAGCTTGAAGCCACCAGCGGGCTCGAGGTTACCGGAGACCGATTCGCTTCTTCTCTTTTCCGCCCCTCTCGCGGGCTCTCACCTGCCCTCGCTTAGGGTGTGGACGAGGGCGTGTGACGTGGCCGGAGTGCCGGTAGCTTAGGTGTTCCGGCAGCACCGAAGTGGAACCACTAGAGGAGTGTCTGCTTACTTATTGCGTACCTGGGCTGGGACCACTACCTCCTAGAAGTAGCCGGAGCAGTGCAGAGTCACGATGCAACGCTGTTAGAGCGGAGGGTCCCACAGCGGAGGGATTAACTGCTTTAACCCAGGTCGGGTGCTCTCCCTCCGGTGTTTCGCTTCCCCAAAATCCCGGCGGCGTTGAGCCGCTTGGGAAAGTAACGGCCGATTCAGGCCGGGCTGGGATCAACTCTCGCCCTTGGCGTTGCAAACTCGAGGCGGGTGTTTTGACGCTCGCCGGGCAGGTCCTTGAGGAGGGGACGGTGGGTCGGTGCCTTGGTTCGGTTCGGCCAGAGAAAACCCCTCCGTTTGTAGCGAGGGTTGTTTGTGCGGCAGCCTAGTCATGGGGAGGTCAGCTGATGGGCCACGGGCGGCGCGAGGGGGCTGGCCTGGCTTCCTTGCAATGGAACGAGAATAGGAGCAGCAAACGAGCACGGTCATGGCTCTGCTCTCCCTCGGCTTTGAAGCACCCAGCCCTGCCTTGCAACGAACGCGGCAATGCCACTGCTACTGGAGACTTAGGGAAATACAGTCCAGGCACCGTAGTAGACAGACAAAGTCGAGCTCCACCCGTCCCTCTGGTTTTCTTAGCCAAAACACGGAAGTAGCTGCCAGCTCTCTTGTTGACTTTCAACTTTCTTTTAAGGGGGTAGCCTGAAATCCTGGGAAATTTGTATTTTTTAAAGTAATATATTCCGTGGCTTTCAAAAAAAAAAAAACTTTTAGAAGCTTTTGTCCTTGTCTCCAAACATTGTAAAAATTGCCAAAGCAAGTCAGGCAGGCACACAAAAAGGCTGCTGTGCTGATTTGGGTTTGAGAAGCACCTGCTTGAGGGCTGTGCTTGATTACCTGTGAGGAGCATTCAGTCTGTAAGAGCCTATTTCCGGTCCATTAGCAGGAACCTGCAAACCTTTTAAGGTAGAGTTTCTTGTGTTTGTGGAGGGAAAAGGGAGGACATTTCTGTGAACAGTGAATGGGGAATTCCTCTTGGGCAGGGCTATTGCCTGAACACCAGAGCTAGCTGATTATGAAGGTTTATTGTTGGGCCATCATACTTTGTTTTGTTTTGTTACTTTTATCAAAGTTTTGTTTTATGATGTTAACCGACCTAGTCTTTGGGGATTGGGCAGCATGCCAATAAAGTGTGCATATATTGGCTTCTTGCCCTAGAATAGTGCCAGGCATGAGTATTTGAGTTCAAAACTTGACAGGATCTGTAATTTGATAAATGGTTATTATGGGATTTCCCTGGGAAGTGTTAGCATTGACCTTTTCCCCTTCTTTTTTTTATTATTTTTGCAGATATTTGCACTCATTGTTTTCTCCTGCATCATTGGGGAAGGTTACACCAACCCGCCGTCAGCTAGTAATCTTTACTGCATCTTTAATCATAGTGAGGATGCCTGTCGTTATGGTATCGGCATTGGTGTGGTTGCCTTCCTGGCTTGTATATTTTTCTTTATGGTCGACATCTACTTCCCCCAGATTAGCAGCGCCACTGATCGCAAGTACCTCGTTATGGCCGACTTAGCCTTCTCAGGTATGTTTCTGGGAGATGTGAACTCAAACAGGGCTCTGGGGAGAACAGCTGAGTTCTGTCCATGTTCTTTTTTTCTCTTCCAGAGTTGGGATAGCATTTTCCCTGTTGGCTCCTACTCCCCTGTGCATGAATGTAATTGTTCAGATCTTTTGGAATGATGCCCTCTAAAGGTTTGCTTTGTGAAGGGGCATAGTGGCTTTAAGGGAGGGGGACCTCATTCTGGTGCTTCTTCATGAGGACAATTGCTGATAAGAAACCATAGAATTGGAGTCTGTTCTCTGGTTTAAGCTTGGGTCTTATGCTCTGAATAAAGTCACTACTGGTAAGTCTTCACTTACTGACTGCAACTGGGACCTGCAATTCCATCACTAAGCAAAGTCATGTGATTGCAATCCTGAAGCACATAACCCAGTTAAATGCAATGTCACTTGACTAATTTGCAATTTCCTGCGGGCTTCCCCATTGATTTTGTATGTCAGAAGTTGACCGTGAGGGTTGCAAATGGTAGTCATGTGATTGATGTGCACTGCAACCATCATAAATGTGGGTTACCAAGCACCTGGATCGTGATCATGTGGATGCTACAATGGCTGTAACATGAACAAGTGGCCAGAAATTTCCTTTAGTCCCATAGTAGCTTCAGTCATTGAACAAGCAGTCCTTCAAAATTTATTGGACTACAATTCTTCAGTCTTTGCCATCATTACCAATGATCAAGAACACTGGGATATTGTTCAAAATGTTTGAAGGGTATTGTGTTGCCTAATGCCTATTACAAAGTTAGAATGAAGCCTGCCCATGCTCTAGACCAGGGGTGGGCAAACTACGGCCCGCGGGCCACATCCGGCCCGTTGGTCTGTCCAATGCGGCCCGCCCCTGAAAAAAAATCGCTGCCATTGGTCTGTCCAATCCGGCCCACCCCTGAAAAAAATCGTTGGGCGTGGCGTATTGCCCTGTGCCGCGTGGCCCCCAAAGCTGCAAAACAGTGCGGAGCGATCTAGGGGTAGGAAAGAAAAGAAATTTGCAAAGGCCTCAGCTGGGAGTTCGAAATCACCTTCGAGTGTGACCTCTCCGAAGGTGAGTCCCCGCTGATCCCCCTTTTTTTTCCGGGGCTTCCAGGCTTAAACTTTGCAAAGGCAAAGCTTGCAAGCTGGAGCGTCTTCCCGCCGAGGAGCGGGAAGGGTTCCACCCGGCGGGCGGGGCGGGCTGCTTGGAGCCACCTAAAGCTAGGCCGCTGCTGGTGGAGCCTTGCCCTGCCTTGGTGCCCCGTTTCCCGGCTCGGCGGTCCTGCTTGGGCAGCACTTTAAAAGCCTGCTCCCAGCACCCGAGCAACTTCCCAGCAACTTTCGGCTTCGTTTTAACTCGCGGGCGCTCGTGCCTGGCCCTGAGCCGCGCAGCAGAGGGGAAGCCCGGCGGACAGGCGGGCTGCTTGGAGGAGGCGACCCGGCGGCGCTCCGGGCTTCCCCTCCGCCGTGCGGCTTGGGGCGAGGCGCGAGCACCCGCGAGTTAAAACGAAGCCGGAAGTTGCTGGGAAGTTGCTCGGTTTTCCGGGGCTTCCAGGGCTTTGCAAAGGCAAAGTTTGCAGGCTGGAACGTCTTCCCACCGAGGAGCGGGAAGGGTTCCGCCCGGCGGGCGGGGCGGGCTGCTTGGAGCGGACTGCCGTGCGGCTCGGGGCGAGTCACGAGCGCCCGCGAGTTAAAAGGAAGCCGAAAGTTGCTGGGAAGTTGCTCGGATTTCCGGGGCTTCCAGGCTTAAACTTTGCTCGGGCGGCACTTTAAAAGCCTGCTTCCAGCACCCGAGCAACTTCCCAGCAACTTCCGGCTTCCTTTTAACTTGCGGGCGCTCGCGCCTGGCCCCAAGCCGCGCGGCGGAAGGGAAGCCCGGCGGGCGGGCGGGCAGGCTGCTTGGAGGAGGCTCCGGGCTTCTCCTCCGCCAGGCGCGAGCGCCCGCGAGTTAAAAGGAAGCCGAAAGTTGCTGGGAAGTTGCTCGGGTTTCCGGGGTTTCCAGGGCTTTGCAAAGGCAAAGTTTGCAGGCTGGAGCGTCTTCCCGCCGAGGAGCGGGAAGGGTTCCGCCCGGCGGGCGGGCTGCTTAAACTTTGCTCGGGCGGCACTTTAAAAGCCTGCTCCCAGCACCCGAGCAACTTCCCAGCAACTTTCGGCTTCCTTTTAACTCGCGGGCGCTCGCGCCTGGCCCCGAGCCGCGTGGCAGAGGGGAAGCCCGGCGGGCGGGCGGGCTGCTTGGAGGAGGCGACCCGGCGGTGCTCCGGCAGCAGCAACAGGCAGTTTTGCCCGGGCTCCGCTCAGGTGTCCGGCTGGGGCTGTCAGGAGTTGCTATCGCTGGCGCAGCTCCGCGCGGTTCCAGTCCCGCGTTGCCTTGGGAAGGAAAAAGCAAAACCAGGAGCCGCTGAGCCTGAGCCTCTGGTGCTGCTGCTCCCGTTGCAAAGCACCGCCACGGCTCTTCCTTTTTGCCTTTCCCTTCCCAAGGCAACGCGGGACTGGAGCCGCGCGGAGCCGCGCCGGTGGTAGCAACTCCTGACTCAGGGGGCCTCCGAGGGGAGGGGAAGGAGGAGAAGAGGGGGGGGAGGGGGGGGCGATTCCCAAAAAATCTTGTGCTGACCTGGCCCGTCTGTCAAATTTTAAAAGTCAATGCGGCCCCCGAGCCAAAAAGTTTCCCCACCCCTGCTCTAGACCATTTGTCTAAAGTGGCCAATGCTGATTTGAATCACCCCCCCCAAAAGAATAGCAATAGCACTTAGACTTATATACCGCTTCATAGTGTTTTATACCCCTCTAAGCTGTTTACAGTGCCAATATATTGTCCCCAACAATCTGGGTCCTCATTTTACTGACCTCGGAAGGATGGAAGGCTGAGTCAACCTTGAACCAGTGAGATTCAAACTTGCTGAACTGCTGGCAATCAGCAGTCAGCAGAAATAGCCTGCAGTACTGCATTCTAACCACTGTGCCACCACCGCTCTCTTCCAGAATGTCAAGATTAATGTACCATACTGTACATTACTTTTCATAACTATAGCTAAAATGTTACTGTCATACTATCATGTAATCTATAAGGATGTGTTCTCTTGTCTTCTGTCTAGCTGTTTGGACCTTTTTGTGGTTTATTGGATTCTGTGTGCTGACAAACCAGTGGTCATCAGTGCAGCCTGGAGAGGTATTAATTGGGGCTGATTCTGCCCGTGCATCAATTGCCTTCAGTTTCTTCTCCATTTTTTCATGGGTGAGTAAAGAATTTCTTCCTGTCTCAAGAAAGACCAGTGATGAACATTGTCAGCCTAGGGAGATTTAAGCCTTATTTTGCCTGGTTGGCAAACAGGATATGAAACCGTGATTCTTTTGCTATTTCATTAAAGGGACCTCAGCCCAAAATCAGGATGATTCAAATCTTATTGTCATTAACCCAGCCTTCTAATTGCCTGAGGATCATGGAATTGATTCTTTTATATAGAAAGGCTGTAAAAACACTAATGGAAGGAATCCCAGGGAAATGCATCCAGGCGCCTTTTACAATAGAACTGACTCAAGAAGTAACTTTTTCAGTTTGATTCCTTAAGATGCAGTGTGATTAAATTAATTAAGGTGATGGCATATTCATGGAACACTGTGCTGAGTGTTGCAGAAGATATTTGTTCTCTGGCAAGCAAATCTTTTGTGGGCGGATTCCTACTGTTGCATTTAACTGTTCCTCTCCATAGGGACTCCTGATTGCCTTCGCCCTTCAGCGTTACCGTATGGGTGTCCAAGATTTTGACCAAAGTTACATCGACCCAGCTCCAGGTCCAACACCCCCATACTCCAGTTACCCCAATGCCAGTCATGAGAGCTACCAGCAGCCACCCTTCACTACCACTGGAGAGAACTCTGAGGGCTACCAGCCTCCACCTGTGTATTGATTGCTACTCACTGTTCAAAGCAGCTGGCAGGGAATAGTACATTAGTGCTATGTATTCATTTCTCGGGGTGGGGACTATGTCTACTGTGAAATTGTGAGGATGTTACAACCAAGATTGTAGGTTGTGCCTGTATATGTAATGGGTTCTGGGATAGTCTATTGTTTTCAACTATTTTCAAAACTTGCTTCTTGAAAAAAACAAACCCCTCTTTGTGGGTACAGGAAGCTTGTAGTGTGACTTGCAAGGCGTATTAATTGCTGAAATGGTATTGACTACTTGGTCTTACTACTGCTGCAGCTAACCTAAGCTGCTTGCTGGAAATTAAGCTAGAGGCATTTTGCAACTGAGGAAGACTACTTCTACTGGATATGCCCCAGTGGGATCCTTACTACTGCTATATGCCTAGTGCTGTTACATCTGTGCCTTGGTGTGCTTGTTCATCTTGACCATTCCAGACCTCCAATGGGTCTGGTGTTCCTATGGCTGTGGTGCTACCCTTCCAGACTGAGAAATGCCTGTGCAGTGCTTTCTATCATTTCAGTTGCTGATACCAAAACCAATTAAAAGCATTTCTAGATAAAGCTTTAGACGCATTGCATTAGTGATTCAATTGAATTTATCATATCATGCCTTTTCTTTGGTTTAAAAGTGGGAAGAACTTGGTTCCATGAAGAATTGTGAGACCTGTTTTAAATACTTTATAGAGACCTACCAGTTTTCAATAATGTACCAAAGGCAAAACTCACTCTTACAAATTTTATTCTCCTTACCTTTCCTGAATCACTAACAAATAGGAATGTGTGTGAAGGGGAAAGTACACTGCTTTGAAGCCATCACACTTTGCATCTAGAAGAGCTCAAAAACAATAGCTGCAATACTGTCTTTTGATCAAACTCAAATCAGGATTTTTTGGGTGAATAGGCCTTAAACCACAGCCAATGCCAAAGCATAGCATATCCCATTACCTCACTGACCCTCATCTTCCCACGCAGTCCCTGCCCCAAAAGCACAGCAGAGCCTATCCCCAATCTTCAGAGTGCCTTCCTTTCCTCCCTGCTGTGACTGCCAGCCTCTGCATTTGGTGCCACTCTTGCCCTATCTCAAACCTCCACTACTGGAACAAAAGAGACCCCCCATTTTAATCTGTATGCAGACCAAAACATTCAAAATTGATGTATTTCAGTTCAGGAAGAGATCAGCTAAAATGACTGTTCTGCACACAATGTTTTATACATCTCCATTAACAAGTCTTTCAAGAGAATGGCTTTTTTGTATCCATAGCCTGTGGCTGTTAACACTGCTGTTTTCTAATTGCAAGTTTTGGGAAACTCCAGGCAAATGTTGCAATCTTGGGGCTTTGAAGTGTTGTAAATCTTTTGCCATAGTAGAAGTCAAATTATATGCATCTCTTAGAACATGTTGTGGATTTTGATGTGTCCTATAATTTTAGGGGAGTGGACAAATACTTTATTTTACAGAAAGATTAATGACTAGGCAAGGGTGTATTGTCTAGCTAGCATATGGACAGCAGTGGAACTTTTAAAAAGCATGAATCCTTTTAGACTAGCCTTTATTGCCTGCTTTTTGTCTGAAAAAAAAAAGTTATATAGCTTTTGTGTGAAGATCATCTATACTGTTTAGGAATAACTAGGGTAAGATTATTGGCAGTAATTATTTTTAAGTGTCCCAGAGAAAACAATCTTAGCATTTTCAGCTGTAATTTCCCTTCAAAGAATGTCATACATATAGCCATTTCCTGATTAATGATTTAAGAGCTTTACTTATAACAGGCATTATATTGTCCTAATATCAACAGGCATTAACCAGTAATAAAGTTCTTGTCACTGAAGTTAAATATTCTTAAGATGAACTGGTAGTAATAAGTCCTACACATTAAACTTTTAAAGATTAATTTTATTCAATGCATCATTGATTAAAACCAACCCTAGTTTCCACTAGAGGTTCCTTCTTCTGCTCCTAAGACAACAGAAACAAGACACGGGGTGTTTTCAGTGTAAAAAGATTATATTTACTCAAAAAGAGGAAATGCAGATACTTATCGCTGCAATAAAATCAGAATGTTAGACAGTATGCTAGAAAATATAAAGCAGGAATATAATACTTAAAACAACCACTGACACATTAGTAGCCAGTTTAATAAATTAAACAAGCAAAAGTAGAATATATTTAAGTCAATGTAAGATGTCAAGTGTCTATCTAGGAAGGTTAAAAGAAAAGCCCTTTATTATGTTAATTATAAAGGCTGGAAAAGGGGCCTTTTTTTTTTGTAAGTCCAGGTCTTTATTTACAAGCAGATACACACACCACCAAATAAAAATACATTTTGTTCAGTTAACCTATTCAGTCTTTAAAGCCCAACAGCCTGTAAATTAATTGCCTATTGAATATAGTAAGAATTCCCCTTCCCCCAAACCCCAATTTGATGGATTTAGAAAAATAATGTTCCAGTTTCATAGTGCAACTTGCTGTTAGTACATTTACTTTAGCCATTATGGCAGTTAAAACTCTGAATTAAACCGTTTGGGGAAATTTTGTGCAAGAGGAAATGCCACTAATGATATTACAAAATCTTCCCTCTAGAGACTAAGAAACCAGTGCAGTTCTCAATATAGAACATCCTTATTCATAGCATGTTATAATGTTCTCAAGCCTTGTTGCTGCTTATAAAAACAACTCTTTCTGTTGTGTGGGAGGGACATTAGTTTAACAATACAAAGCTAGAAGGAAGGACAAGAAAATGTTTCTTTAAATCCACCTGGGAATCAGACCTCTTGCTTCCATTGTTCAATTAGATGGATTCCATTGCATGATCTGATGGGTAGCCAAGACTTTGCTGGAGGCACTAATATCCAGGGGCTTATTCCCACATAGTAGGTTCTCTTTGTTTTCAGATACCAACTGTTGTCGATTCTTGAAATAACAGACCCGGCAGACTGAATGATATTTATCTGCCCCTCCTATTACTTCCACCTAAGAGGATGAAATTTAAAAATAAAAGGTTTTGTTGTTATCAACCTACAACAGGCAATATCTCTCACAGTCAACAGCTTTAAAGAAAGGGAGAGTTTTTATTAGAGTCTTACCTCTTTCTCTGTTCCCAACCTTTTTGTGTAAGAGGCCTCATGATAACACTCCATACAAACAGCGTTAAGTTTCACGACACTCTCTGCGAAGGGGACTAGTTGTAAGATGTTCCCAAAAGCCTGAAATGAAACCATGAAATATTTTGTAGAACTGGGAGATAAACTATCCAGAAATTTTAATGAAGAATGTAAAGGTATTTACCTTCCTCTGAAATGTTCCATCAAGGGCTGCCACAATGACAGTCTTCCCTGCATTGGCCATTGTCTCACAAAACTCAACTATATCTGGAAACTAATTGGAAAAATTAAAAAGTTAATCATTCCCTCATTCCAACCTTTAGAAACTTTGTAAAGCAATGTCTAAGATGCTGTTTTGTTGTGAATAAAATTAATGATCTCCAAAGAACATAAGATCTATTTAATTCACCATTCTGTACCCACTGGTGCATTAGATGCCTCTAGGAAGCTCACAGGCAGGAGTACAACATAGCCTCCCACTGATCTTTTTTGGTAATTAACTTCTGAATATATGCTTTCTCTAATAATAAAAGAAATTGTATATGGAATATAGTCTTTTAAATAAGCATTTCCTTTTATTTGTTGCAATTCTATAATTCAGCTTAATTTCTAGGTTTTACAATTCAAATGAATAAATTTGCACACTTCCTATGTAAAGAGAGCAAAATTATATTCTTCTGAATGTTGTGTGTGTGTGTGTGTGTCCCCTTCTTTAACCCCATGATGCTCTTTTTCAGATGAACTGATCAAAATTCTACTTGTATTCCCAAATCTGGTTGCATTTTCGATTTCTTTCAGATTACGCCATTAGAAGCATTTACATGGTATTCATAGCACAATTTTATCCATTTGCCAAGAACCAAGTCCTACTCAGTTTACTGAGGTTTGCTTTCCAGGCTAACCATGCACAGGATTGTATTTTAACCATTCATGTTTACAATCAAGTCAAGTGAATATAAAGATCTATCATATCATCACTGTTGCCTCACATCTCAGAGGTAATATCAATGAACAAAATGGGTCTTACCCTACATAAGTGTGTATAGAATTATGTTCCAAAGTGTATTAAGCACAGAAACAATTATCAGTACTTGGCAGTTCATTTAAACGTTCAGGTAATATAAACTTACAAACTGGCCTTCATCAATGCCAATCACAGTGGAATTCAGAGCCTCCTGCTGGACATCTTTGAGGCAACAAGCTGACATGGCCTCCATGGTGCTTCTGTGTAGAAAGAATATCAAGAATTGGAAGGGACCTTGGAGGTCTTCTAGTCCAACCCCTGCTCAAGCTGGAGACCTGACACTATTTCAGATAAATGGCTGTCCAATCTCTTAAAAACCTCCAGGAATGGAGCATCCAAATTTCTGGAGGCAAGCCATTCCACTGATTGTTCTCACTGTCAGGAAATTTCTCTTTAATTCTAGGTTGCATCTCTCCCTCATAAGTTTCTGCTGATAAGGTAAGTAAGTATCTGCAGCAGGTTAAAATTTATTTAAGGGTAACTATTCCCAAACACCAAAACCTGCAGATCCTCTTAAAGACAGATAGCAACCCTCTGAATCCTAAAGACCATCTGATAGCAACAATTTTAATGAAGAGATTCAAATAAAAGATATAGAAAAATGTTTTTACCTTTTTGCAATTGTCTATATGGAAAATAGATGACATTTTGTGAAAAAATAAAATTTGAAGTTCTGAAAGGCTCAAGCAAGATAATAAATTAGGGGATCACAATTTTAGCTTATTTAACTTTCAAAAGAACTAAAGTTATATAAAGAGGTGTATTCGGTTACAATCATAAGATTGAATCATAAGGATTTGGGGTGATTTTTCTCAGAAGAATGATTTTGTGATGAAAACTGCACAGTTAAGGGCTCTAGATTGCGCTAGCATTTAACTAACAAAACCTTTTATATTATTCTTGCAATTTTGTTTCCTCCCTCCAAAGTGACAGGACCCATTTCTAATTTGTATTTTTTAAGAAACATTGAGCTGTGTGTAAGTGTAATATATAGATATAGTAAAATAGTTACAAATACTGGGAATGTTACTATATAAGGAAATGAACTTGCCTTATTTTTGTGAAACAATGCCTTTTCATATATTAGTAATTTTATGTGCTTGTCTGTCATAATCTGTAAATTCTTTTTCTAATTCTCTAAAAGCTCATGTTGAGACTTATATGAAGCTTCACTGTACAATATTTAAGGCCAAAAAAGTATGTCAGATATATTGTATGCTGAGGCAATACCACTAACTGCAGTTTCTTGAAGATGATAAAACAAAATCCACAAGCAATCAATATTACAGGACACATATGAACTGTTTTCCTGAACCAAAAAGTGTATCTCTGCTAAGTGTTTTCTCCAAGTGATAAGCTATTGATTTACTTTGCTCATAGTATATTTTCACCTGTCATGTGTGGAGACCCCACTGAGGCAATAGCGTGTGTCTTTCGCATACTTGATTAGTAGACATTTATACTGTGCGATTTGAAATCGACGGACTCGGCGCATCAGTTCAGTGCTAAAAAAAGAATTAAGATTCTGTTGTGACAAATGCAGAAAAAAACCGAAGTACTCAAAAAGTAAAATCTTTTTTATTCTATCATGGATCAAAACTTCTTGCACTACCCAAAAATCTCAATTTTAATAATTTGGCCACATAACTTCAAAGGAATTGAGCATCTAAGCCCTTGGTTAATATACTCCCTCAAGATACCAAACCTATACCATTTCCAATTTAGATACTGTATTATCAGAAACAGGAAAAACTGGTAGTTACTTTTTGCCCCCTGCTTATTCCAGCCTCCTCCAGCATGGTATTAAAATTATATTAAAGCTTAAAACTTCTAAAATTCTTAGTCAAAGTTTCAAAGAATAAAACAGTGCTACTCTTCTATATGTTGTAATACATGTGTAATCTATTCTTTATTTTTATTTATTTATATCCGGCTTTTATTATTTTTACAAATAACTCAATTTTCCCCACAACAAGAACCCTGTGAGGTGGATTGGACCGAGAGAGACTGACTGGCTCAAAGTCACCCGGTTGGCTTTCATGGCTAAAATGATCCCAGCCATACTTTTAATTCCTGGTCTACTGAGTTAAGGAGAAGCATGGGCCTAGCTGAATATAACCAGGCCTGCAGACTGTCTTGCTCCTCTGCAGGTTCCCCTTTATTTCACTTCAAGCTCCCACCTTCTTTTCTAGTCATCTCAGCCAGTGCTAACTATCTTAATGCCCTCATACCTTTTTCCAGAGAACATGGGTCCAAAGATGACCTGTCAGAAGAGGGGGAGGGGGGGAAATGAATAGTTAGCAGTTTTCCCACTTTCCAGGTGGAACTTCTTCTCTTCCCCCTAATTTTAAAACTTCCCATCTTAAAATCTCTAATGCCATCTTTTCAAAGTGGATCGTCCTGCCGTGTACCTGTATCTGGCCGCGGGCCTTCTGCGGGGATCCTGGTTGCACTCTCGGCATCATCATGTAACTCATGGTACCGGCCGGGTCCCGCCGGCTGTTCTGCTCCAAGAAAGGCGCCTTTTTTTTCCCCCCCAGGCGCGAGCGCGATTTAGAGTAGCTGACCAATCGGGACGGTTCCCACCAGTCAGCAAATCATGAGGAAGAAGAAGAAGAACAAAGAACTTTTCGGCCAATCACGAACAAGGCGGGACATATCTTTCTTCTTTAAAAGTGCTTATGGACATTCCTGTTAGAGGATTTATAAGGAACTTCCAACTTGCTCTAAGGAAGCAAGCCAAAGGGGGAAGGGAAGAAGGATATCTCGGAATTTGCTTATCGCTGTTAATGTTCTGCTTGCTTTTCTAGCTTGAGCGCCGCCTTCTTTTGTTGCAAAATCTCTCCTTTTAAAGGAATCTTTTCTTTCGGCAAAGCAAACTCATTCAACCTCCCCAGCCTGTTGTCTAATTGATAACCTGAGATTTTCAACTGCTTTTGTCACAAAATTTGGAGAGCATTAATTTGAGGAAGGGTTGTTGGTATGGGGCATGATGCTTGCTTCTTTAGGAACTGAGGATGTACAAACTCATTCAGAGAAGTTTCCATTCAGGAAATTCAATGTCACAGAACTAAACTGGAAAGAATTAACTGGCAAAAACGTATTGCTTGGGCTGAAATAATAAAAGCAATAGTTAATGTGAATTATCTCAATCATAAGTACCAAACATAAGGTTATGTATACTGAGTGCATTAAATCTCTCATGAGAGAAATGAATGGAAAAGTAGAACCAGATCTGCACTTTCTGCTTGGCCCATCGCCACTATAGGCTGCTTCAGCACTCCCTGCATGCCAGAATGTGATGCTGTCCACCTCTCCCACACCCACTTCAAATGCACCCTCTGCTCATGTTTTCCAGCTTTGAGTCAAAGCTGCTATTCTTTCAGCCTGAGCCATCATAAGCCCTTCACGGTGGGTGGATGGGTGGGGGACTCAGGTGCTCTGTTGTGTTCACAGTAGCATCCCCAGCTCCAAGAGACTGCAGGGCCTATTTACTCCCCTCCTTTCCCACATCTGGTCACCATCTTGGACAGTCATTTTGTGCTGGGTTCTTGTATTCCAATGTTCTCTTTCCTCAGCAGTTGCTGTTTCTTGATAATTCTGTGGTTGAGTCAATGAACCATCTTCAATTTCCGTTTAACTTCAGTGCTTCCTCTTTAGCTGAGGAAAGGTTTGTTTTTAGCTACATGATTTTTCACTTAGCAATTTGTTTATTTTTGACTCACCATAATAAGTAAACCTACCGATTGCGATTCACAAACTTACATTCACGCTCTACTTGTAGATAGTGCAAGATTGTTTTGCTAACTATTTTTAAGGGATAAGAGTCAGAGTGACTTCCAACTTCTTGCCAGCTTCCCCATTATGGGAAGCTTGCAGAGAGCATCAGAAACCAACCAGTCTCCCTCCTTCCCTCTGTCCCTTGCTCTCTCCTCCACCTTCCCTCCTTCTTTGCCTGCTTTCCTTTCTCCCTTCCTTATCTTCTTCTTTGCTTCCCTCCCTTGCTGTCATTCTGTCATAATCTTCCCTCCCACCCTCTCTTCTCTCTCTCTCCCTCCCTCCCATTCTTCCACTCTTTCTTTCCTCTCTCCTTACCTCACTGTTCCTCTCTTCCTCCTCCTTCTCTCCCGATACCTCCTTCTCCCTTCCTTCCTTTTCCCCTCTTTCCCACCCTTCTTTCCCTACTTCCTTTCTTTCCTTCTTCATCTTTTTCCCTTTCTCCCTCCCTCACCCTTCTTTCCTTGCTATCATTATGTCATTATCTTCCTCCCTCCCTCCTTTTACCCAGTAAAGGTTATGACAGTGAGAATTTTAGTAGTATATCAAATAAAGAGCATTGTTATTTTGATATATAAGAATTAGCAAATAAAATTAGTTACTTGCATGAAGCTTGGAATACGGAATTGGAAAAACATAATGGTTTTTAAATAATGCTAAATATGATATACAATGAGATTATTTTTGGTTAAAATTAATCTCAAATTAATTAATTTGGTTAACTTTTGTTTTCTTGTTATGATTTTCTGAAAAATAATATGACTTACATCTATGTTATCAATCCTTGTATTAAATTGCTAAATTATTAGATCTCTTGACTTCCTGACAAAATGCACCCGAACATCTCATAGAATATTCTTATTCCCACAAATGTATTTATTTTATCAACCTATAACAGATTCATTATAACAATAAGGGGAATTTGCAAAATATAAAAAAGGAAAACAGGAAAGTTGCCTGGACCAGATGGATTACAAGGATCTTATAAATATTTTAAGGACAAAGTTTCACAAACTTTACAAAATATGATGAACTCTATTTTACAGGGAGGAAAATTGCCAGAGAACTAGAAAATAGGATAATATAGAATCAATACCTAAACACGGTAAAGATTTGACTTTAACGAGAAACTATCAATATCCTTATTGATTAATGACTATAAGTTGTTTAAACAATTTTAACTGAGAGATACAATAGATACAAACTCAAGGTTAATCGCACCAAACTTGATTGCAGGAAATATGATTTCAGCAACAGAGTGGTCAATGTCTGGAATACTCTACCTGACTCTGTGGTTTCTTCCCCAAACCCTAAAAACTTTAACCTTAGACTGTCTACTATTGACCTCACCCCTTTCCTAAGAGGTCTGTAGGGGGCGTGCATAAGCGCACCAACGTGCCTACCATCCATGTCCTATTGTTTCTTTTATATATTTTTTTCTTATATGTATCCATGTATTCATAACTATTTTTTTATTTATACCTATTATCTTGTAAGCAATTGACAAAAATAAATAAATAAATAAATAAAAATAAATAGATTGTAAATAAGTTTGTAACAATTTGTATATATGAAGATCGATGTGTGCTTTATCTAGACAGTTAAAGACAGTTAAAAATAATATTAGAAATGTACTGGACATTTGAAGCAGCCTAATGAAAAACAATTCACATTGATTTCTTTCTTTTTTAAATAAATTTTTTATTAATTTTCAATAAACAAACATACACAAACAAACACAAAACATGAAAACATAAAACTTCTTTTTGGAAAGCGGCTTGGTCCTAGGTTACATATTTTTGTACAGACATAAATCAAATTCATGCTCACTTTATATACCATTTCATATCTTATTTACCATTCTACATTTTCTATATAGCTTCTCCCCTTTTTTCACTCTCTTAATTCTGTTTTATTTATTTCATCTCAATTTAAATCTTTATGCTTATATCTTTTGTCTGTTCTATTCAATTATCTATTATCTTTTCTCATTGACACAAAATTTCTCCTGTAATCACTGATTGAAGTATGACGCCTTTATATCTTTCCCCTAAATTTAAGACTTAAAATAATATATAATTTTCATTCTGATTCTGCTTAGTACATTCTAAAGCTACGTGCTATAGTTTAGAATAAGAAAAAATAATAAGTTTATAATATGATTAAAACAGTAATCCATAGCAAATTAAACTCTATCGTTAAATCTTAAGCATTTTACACATTCCTTTTAATATTTTATCCCATTTTATAATCATATAATATTCCAGTTTTCTAACATTGTTTCAAATACAAATACAACAATACAGTCTTATATACTTTTGCAGAATCTCTTTTTTAATTATATTTTTACCCATTATCTCTGAATAAATCCTGTTTCTTTACATCTTGTTTCAAACCTTTGTAACTTCTCTTCCCTTTTTCCCTTCCTTTCTTCTCCAATCTAGCCTTTTTACCCCCTTGTCTCTTGATCTCCACCCTCTTAATCTCCACCCTCTTCTGTATTCCTCTTTTCTGTTGCTTTCTGACATTGTATTGATTTTTCACCTTATTTTTCCCTTTTTTGGTTGTTTTTTTAAGTCTTAAATTCTCCATTCTCTTTCCCATCTTTCCCTTTTCTTCCCCAGCTAGATTGGATCGGGGGCACTCCAGCGGCGAGCGCAGCAGAAACTGCGCACGATCGCGGATTCCTGCCGCCGCCGAAGCCTTGCAAACTGGAAGTCCCCTCACATTGATTTCTTAATAGGCAGAGAAGGCCTATTCAATGCTTTGGAAGATATGAACTTTGGAAATAATTTTATCAAATGGGTAAGACTGGTTTACACAATACAGAAAGCACAAATAATTGTTAATGAAGAGCTAACAAATCTTATAGGTTACAAAAAGGAACAAGACAGGTCTACTCATTATCTCCTTTTATTTTTGTTTAATTTACTTCTTGAAATATTGCATAAAGATATAGGACAAAAATGAGAAAATTGTGGGAATAAAGATTGAAAGAGAAACCTATAGGTTAAGAGCATTTGATTTGTTCCTGGTTTTAGAGGATCCTTTAAAGAGAATTGTAACATTAATAGGAAAAATAAAATAATTTGGTATATTAACAGGTTTTAAGATTAACAAACAGAAGACAAAGACATAATCAAAACATTCTGTATATATTAGTGATGTGTGGGTACAGTCAAAACTTGTGGATATATGCTGAATAAAAACGTTTCTAAAACAGCTTTTATTTTCAGACGTTGACTGGCCTTCTCTCAGTCTATCTAGGTTAATATTTAACGTTACTTTCCAATTATTCATTTTCAGCATACTTGTGAAGGCATGGCAGAAAAAATTGTTTATAGAGACACAGAGATCAGCAAGTTAAAACAATCTTCAAAAAATGGGGTGGGGTAGGGATAGCATTGCCACACCTAACATTACTATTTTTTCCCCAAATTTGTTCACTTGGATATTGTAGCAGGAAGACAGTGAGAGCTGAGTTTACTCAGTGTCTCTGTTCTACAGCGAACTGCTTTCTGTGCAGCCCCAATGCTGGTATGACGAATGAGGACAGCCCCTTAATCTGGAATTGCTGACGTCTTGCAGAGCAGCTGGAAGAGCATAGGCCAAGGACGAACACTGAATCTGATCTGCGCCAATATGTCAGAGGCTATATAGGACCCCATGTTCTCACCACTTTGTTCGTCTTGAGCCCAGGATCACCGGGAGAAGGAATATAGCCACAACTTAGCCA